TTCCGTTGGGTATAAAGACAAGATTTTAGCATTTTATCATTCAAGCGCCTTGTCCGGTATATACCGGAATACGGTATTTAGTGTGGTGCTCCAATCCTTTTTTTAGTCACAGCCTAGATTTTCTATGTAACGGTCGAAATTTATATTTGAATTTCGACGTTACGTCATGTGACTTTCATCATCATGTGACGTCTTTGAAGGCAGTGATTCCAATTCTGCCAAGGGAGGTAATCACTGTGAGGAGTTTGATACATTACAGTACCAATATTAGCGTCACGTTAGCGCCTTTTTATATATTGTTACGTTTGACGTCATTTATATGAGTTGACTTCCGGTAACCAGAAATAAAACAACGTTTTTAAGAACCATTCTTTTGATTATATTTACAAAACATTTTGGTCCCGCGAACCGGATACGAACCAGTGGCCTAACGATGATTATATAGTGAAGGAAAAAAGTATTTGTTTTAATTGTCTGGGAATCACAATACAGTCGACTCCGGTTATAACGAACTCAATGGGACATTAAAATATCGTTCGTTATATCCGAAGTTCGCTAAAAGCGAAGTAGCAACAATTTGCCGTGAAAAAAAGCCATACTTTTAACTAGTTACCGGTGTAACCAGTATTTTACTGCAGCGATTATTTAATGCGGGGAATTTATTGAACACTATATTATGTACATGGTACATGATTGTATTCAATCATGTAGTACTTGTCTATAAAATGCTTACCATTTGTATTCTTTTGCTATTTGTTTATTATCGTTTGGTTAATATTGTAAACAAAAACAATCGATTATTTTGGTAATTATCGGGTACTCAAATACAGCAATCAACTGAGGGTGCGAAATACAAATTTTCCGTAACAAATAGGAAATTATGTTGTTATAACAATTCATCAAAATCTTTATTCCCTGAAGCCATAACTAGCCTGTGCAATCATTCGATTGTATAATTATCCGATAGAGTTATTCATGTATTGATGCTTATCGAGCGCATCCCGATATTTCAATTAAAACAGTTTGTTATAACTGAGGAAATTTGCATGTTTTCCGTCATTTTGGGCTTGAAAAAATGGTTTGTTATAGCCGAAAATTCGTTATAAGCGAGTAGGTATTAAGCGATGTGATTTAATATAAAACAAGAAACATGGCAATGCCACGAAACCAGGTTTTCAAAAATGTTGTTCTGATTCTATACTATAGTATGAATTTTGGAATGAAGATTGCTATGAATATTCAAAAGATTATAACATGACATGAAGGAAAAGATAATATTCATGAGAATACATGATAATGAGTAGGATGTAAATTTCGGCTAACAATACTGTCTGCAAGGAGTATACTTAATAATGAGACAACAATTTGAGTTAAATGAAAGCAAGTTTGAGAGGGTTCTATAGATGTTTTAGTGCAATCATTGAGACATCAACTGCTGAAAAAGAAAGCAAATAGATTATATTGTTAAAATGGGCAACAATTGTTAATCAATGTTATTACCCGACTCTATATAGCAGCCCACACCATTTTGTGATCACTCCAATAGGTCTCAAGAGTTCCACCTCTGGTTGCGAGGGCTGTACTGTATATCTGATCCAAAGATGAGTGATAATCTGTTGTTTCCTCATGGATCACAGGTTTTGCTCTAAATTGCGTACACATACCATCTACGAGTTTAGTACACTTTGTAAGGTCTAGATGATTAATATTATAATCTCCAACTATTAAAGTTGGAACATCCGTTGAGTGGAGTTTGAGTGCAATGTTTAAGATTTTATCTGTGTTTCCTGGTGGCCGGCAATATATAGATAGAATCTGATAGCGAGCACTGTTTTTGGAAACTATCACACTTGCCCCTTCAATACCTGGGTCTGTATACTGCTGGCTGCTTACAACTTGTAGTCCAGCTTTAACGTAAATGAATGTTCCAGAGTGGGGTCGGTGTTTTCTATTATCTGTTGACACAGAAAGTGGTGGCTGAAAACCAGGAAGGGTATAATAATCTGCTTGATCATTCTTCTTAGCCCATGTTTCTTGAATCACCAGTACATCAGTGTAAGAAAGCCTGTCATCTACTCTGTAATGTCCAATATGCTTATGTAGAGACCTAGCATTATGGCCAACTACGGATATTAAGCACTTACAATCAACTGCTCTGTTACAAACAAATATTGCATCAGTTCTGAGCCGAGAGATCTCCTGCTGGACAAGTGGTTCTACAGAAATCTTTTTGGGATCAAAGTCCAATAATCGTAGGCCTTCAAGAGTACGTAGTCTGCTCAATGCAACATACACCATGTGTTTTTGGATTGTACCTTTGAATGAAATTGCTGCTTTATCTATTGTGGATCCTTGTGATTTATGGATTGTGATTGCTTCAGCAGGTGTCAAAGGAAACTGCTTTCTTACAACTCGGAGTTTGTTGCTCCTTCCAATTTGAAATTCCTTTTGCACTGTTAAAATGGGTGTCCATGATCTGTAAATTTGTGAAGTGGCCCGGTACAGGTGCCTGTTTTCATATCTGGCAATGGTCCCTATATCATCATCCGGAAACATGACCCAGACAACTGTAGGATTATTGTTGACACATTGAACCATCATTATTTTGCAGGTAGCGCCATTGGTAAGACCATCCGACGTATTAATATTGTGAGTTATCATATAGTTACCAGACTCCTTAAGCAATAAATTATACTGTAAATTCTGAGTCTTCTTTGGTTCCAGTGTTTTAGCTTGTTCTAAAAGTGTCTTTGCTCCACTGGTTGTCACCTGTCCTTGTGGGAAATCAGTGGCGACTGAAAAAAATCTCAGTCCTGTTTTTTTTGTCAAAACCATGTTATTGTACTCGTAAACATCAGCATTACGGCTAAATAAGTGAAGGTAATCACTGAGGTCTTCATTTTTTGATACCTTTGAGGATATGAGATTTATATCAGCTTGGGTATGATTGCATTCTCTTATACGATTCAAGCAATGTGCGAACTCGGCATCATCTTTCTGACGCATAACAGTTGTCAACTCATACATTTGCACTGTTTCTTGCCATAAATTTTGCATTAGAGGACCATACAAATATCGATCATTCTGGAGAGTATTTTACATGGAGTTTCCAGGCGCACCACACATGCCTTAATGAGCTTTTGTAATAATCAGATTAACTTCAGACATTTAATAGATTAATGTTACAAGTTTATATTTCAAATTGATTTGATAAAAAGTCTGTAAGAAAATGAACTAATCAAAAATAGTAAAGTTGTGTGAAATTACAGATATTATATTTCTGTATCTTAATACATTTAAAGAATTTTAGGAATCACACAGAAGCAGTAGTTAAACACAGGAAAGTTTAGCAATGAAATGGAATGTGTTAAGATTTAATAAAGTATCTTATATCATTAAGGCATGCTCGAGGAGGTACACTCATGGTACAAGGCATTTAGCTTAATTTTAGTTCAGAGAAAACAGAATTATTATAATTTTCCAAAAGATAGTGGAAGTATTTTGATGGGCACTAGTCATACAGAATATTGGCTATTTAAGTTAAATGCCTTGTAGAGTCAGGAATAACAATACATTATTGTATAAACACCGATTTTAATTATTACGAGTAATTCGTTAAAAATTTTGATACTGTGCACTGGATAAGATAAAAGCGAAATCATATAGGCCTTTAAAATTATCTTATAATCATTTTATTTTATTTTAGGTACATATTGTTATTCCTGATGCGCCCCTGTGCAAATAGATTACATAAGTATACATAAGAAGCTAACTAGACAGTATGTTTCCATGTATGCATTCAATAACTAGCGTGCTTGTATAACTGTGACAGAAATAATGTTCTCACCTGTATCACAGTTTATATCCATAGCTGCTTTCAGTATAGTTTTTTTGAAACAAAACCGCCGAATGAAAACGACTTTCATTAAAAATTGCGCTAAATTCCGAGATGGATTCAATGAGATCTTCAGGATGAAGTCAATTCAAGGTCAACATCATATAGAAATATACGCTTGCTCTAAAATTCTTCAAAAAGTTCAAATTTTTTAAAATTTTCAAGTTACAAAGTAGACATGAAATAATATATCATATCTTTTTTAAATTACCTCCAAAGATGATATGACCTTTGACTGCCAAATCAAGTTAAAATCATGTAAACAGGATTTTCAATGTTAATGTCACTGTGACCTTGACCTTGGAGCCAGCCATGCGGAACATGCGTTCTGCACGTCATCTTGATGTGGTAAACATTTGTCTGAAGTTTCATCAAAATTCTTCAAAGGGTTGAAGAGTTACAGAGCGGACAGGATTTTCAATGTTAATGTCACTGTGACCTTGACCTTGGAGCCAGCCATGCGGAACATGCGTTCTGCACGTCATCTTGATGTGGTAAACATTTGTCTGAAGTTTCATCAAAATTCTTCAAAGGGTTGAAGAGTTACAGAGCGGACACAATTTCGTTTGACGCCCGCCCGCCCATCCGCCCAGCCGCCCATCCGCCCATCCGCCCGCCATACCCCAATCTAATAACCAGGATTTTCAAAATTGAAAACCTGGTTAATAAAGGTGGAATCGGACGGGATGTCAGATTTAGTTCGCTATTAACGATAATTCGTTATAAGCGAGTTCGTTATAAGTGGAGTCGACTGTATAACAGATTGTATGTCTAGATTTATGTGTAAGATATGTTCACGCAGACATCATACTAGAATTTGTTAGTAGAAATAGAATCCAAATCTACAGATAAATATTGTGTAACCAACAATGGGAAAAAGAATCATACTTCGGTTTTACATTCTGCTCACTCTAACACATCAGGTAAGGTCCTAGAATCCAAAATGGTTAGTCCTAATACAAAAAACAGTAAATGAATTGTAAATGACTAATAGCGTGAGGGTAGATACGTTATTTGGTTGAGCTATATTCCTGGTAAGGTTTTTTTTCTGACATTTTGTTTTTACATAAAATAATTCTACCAGCGTTCCATTTTTTTCCTTCAGAAAATAATTTGGCGTAACTGGAAGGGAAAGAAACATTTGAGTATCATCGTATGTTGAATTCAATAAGCAGTGAAAGTACCAACAATATCAACAAATCAGAGATATAATGGGGGTGCGGGGTCTGAGGTCATACATTCAGGAACACCGGGACAAGTTTTTACAAGATTTCAAACTTAAAGACACAAAGCTAGTTATTGATGGCTCAAATTTACTATATTTCCTTAACTCACATTTTGAAGAAGAAAATATATATGGAGGAAATTATGACCACTTTAATACAAAATGTCGAGACTTCTTCAATACCTTGCTGAAATGTAAGATCTTACCAATAGTGGTATTTGATGGAGCAGACGACCCAGATAATATGAAGTTGGAGACGATTCTAAAACGTCTAGATGCGCGATTCAGTAGAGTTAAGAAATGGAAAACAAAGGAAATTCTACCTATACTATCAAAGCCTCTTTTGTATCAAATTCTTGATGAGCTGAAGGTTCCTCACATTGCCACCGTGTATGAGGCTGATAAGGAAATTGCGGTTTTAGCAAGCAGATATGAATGCCCTGTGGTGACTAATGACAGTGATTTCTACGTGTATGATTTAAAAGGTGGATCAATTTCTATGGCATGCATGATCGAAAAAGAACGAATGGATGTAAATGGCAGTTTTTACATACCGGTCAAACTTTACAGACGAGAAGCTGTGCTAAAAGAGTTGTTCAAGATGGAAAATGACGAACTGATATTTCCTGTATTTGCAACATTAACTGGCAACGATTTTTTCGATCCTTCAAGTATTACCCTAAACTACCCCAAGCGACCGAGAGAACAGATGAGTTTTGCGAGGAGGAATATACGTGTTGTCGTAGAATATGTATGTAGAGCAGAATTTGAGAGTGGACAGAAGGCATATGATTACATTTGTTCACAGTTAAGTCAAGCACAGAGAGAGCAGTTTAAATATTCTGTCGATTCTTATCTTGACACAAAACAATTTACTCTATTTGATTTAGAAGCATTCATTGCCAATTTAACGCATGGCCACAGCAAAGAAATTAGTATTTTGTATGAAAGACCAAGTACTGAAGGAAATTTGTCCTTGCAAGAATTAAGTTTGGATGAGCCTGAGAAATTAGAAACGGAGCCAAGCAGTTCAACTGACGATTCGGCATCAATGCCTAGACAGGCTCACAATCATCGTCAGCAAGACGAGAAATACATGAAAATTCTCAGTTTGGAAGCCTATCACTACAAGATAAAAACAGAAACAACTTACCATCCTGGTTTGTTAATGAGGCTTTGATGTGTAAAATGGAGTCTACATTCTTGCTTAACATTACACAAAACCACAGACTTATATTTAAGGCACAGTTTGAAAGTCATGAATTGCCGTCCTCTTTTAAATGCTCAGAGAGCATCAGACGTGTTATCTACCGACTGCTTTTGTATACTGGGAGTTCTGCAAGTCATAACCATCAAATTCAAGAGTACCATAGGAGCAGTAAAAAAGAAGATATTTCGACAGTAAGTCCAATAGAAAGTCTTGAATTCGTTTCAAACTTACCAAACCTTGAAGCTATCCCGTCGCTAACGGGAAGTGAAAGGAAAGCAATTGTATATGCTACATTTAAAGCAAGTGTTGCGACTTTTGATGATGAAATAGATGAGACTTCACAAATACTCATCCTCATGTTAAGTTTTTGGATAACAACTTCTAAAGCTAAAGAATGCCATGTAAATGCTGTCCTAATTGGTATTGTAGGATTGCATATTGTCGGTGCTGCGGAATCGAATAAATGCTTGGATGTTATGAATGCTATTAGCAATACAGACACACAAGTCGTCGAAAACTTCAAAGAACGCTTTGGAAAATATTTCAAACCACAAGATTATATGGGACGCCATGGCATTAACAAGGACTTAATTCATAAAGTCTCACAGTTCCAGGCAATATTTCTTCATACCCATCATTTAAACACGCTTTTGCTTGGTCCTGTTTCCCTACCCAGTCCGAGTGTAGTACTAAACAGCACTTTCGTCTACAACATGTGTCATTTGCTAGAAAACAATGTACGCCTGAAAAATATTTTTCCTGGCGAGGAGTCACCGCTTTATAGCTTGTTGAGAAAATGGCAACGTCTCATTGATAACCTTCTTTGACATTCTCCTGTGGGCGAAAAATAAAGACTTAAACCATATCAGGTGGTAAAAATTCGTGAGATTTATATACACAATCATATTTCTGCCAGAGCTGGCCAGAAACAACTGATTAAAAAAACTTGTTTTGTGACATAAACGTTATTTTGATTTATGTTAATAGACATGTAGTTATTGTACACTGCATAAACTGTTGTTACCATTTAGCTAAGAATGTTAATAATGGTTGCTATGGGGATTATAACTGAATTTCAATTCAAATCATAATTATTTATGTATCTATACATGTATTTTGTACACTGCAAAAACTGATGTTTTTAATATATTATACCATTTAGCTGAACATGTAAAGAATTGTTGTTATGAAGATTATGTGAGAAACTAACATAATATTCTTATCTAAACAGTTAAGGCAAGTTTAACAAATAAATGGAACAAATGTGAGTCATTGAATGAGAAATATACATGTAATTAAATGTAGAAAAGGCAATTTTAAGAATGTTCTCATTTTAATACATATACCAAACAGAATAGTATTTTAGATTTTATGGTCAATAATATTTAACACAATGTTTGAAATTTCGAAATTTGTATCAGCAGCTGTTGCATAGCACTACCATGGAAGATCAGCTTTAGCGCATTTACATCTTCCGCGTTAGCCCTTTTCCTAGATTCAGCTACTCTTTAACAGTCCCATACATGATTTTGGATTTTGCTGCTGGCAACAAATTTGTTCACAGAGGCTATCATGATAAGATTGGATCAGTTTTTTTTTGTCTAGACCAAGTTTTGTAACCAATGTATGTACTGTCTTATATCGAAAGGTTCTGTGGTGCCAAATTCAACCTACATCTAATCCACTTCACAGGGTTTTAAAAATGACTAGAAATTTAAGTTGCATACCTCCTGGATAAGCTGAAATATTTTTCAAGATAATAAACTTTAAAAAAAAATATGTTCAAGATATTAGAAAGGTTAAATTATTCACAATAATTCCAGAAATAAATTAAATGTTGTATGCAATCAATACACGATTTTACAGTATGTATCACCATATTTGTTAGTGCTATACTTAGTATTTGTATATTCTCACCTACTTTTGGTAATAATAGATTTTCAGTATTGTTTGCAAAAATATAAATTACTTTCTTTGTTCACTTGACAATATTTTACTTTTTATTTTTAACATTTTCCTGAAAATCAGGATGAATCTGGAGGCATGCTGCTTCAAAGCTTACTTAAGTTATGTTGGATAATGACACTGTATTATTTTAATGTTCGGATTAAACGGCGCATTAACTTACAACTAGCCATACCGTACCGAACACTGCATAAATAGAGCCTGTTATATATTTGTTCACTTAAGATTATTAAACCTACAAAGGGTTATGAAAGTCGTTAGTTAAATTTTAGAATACAGGTTTATATTCTTGTAGTAGTCGATCAATGTTTAGGAAGGAATTGAGTCAAAAAGTTGTGAAAGTGAATTTACTCGGTAATATCTATTATGAACCTGTGCAAGATCATAGCATTCAAGGAAGGAATGTTTGGCAATGAAATATTCATTGCAACCTACATATAAAAGAGCATAATGGCCTCTGTTAAAAGATGAGAATGTGTAACTCTAGTTTGTCATGTTCAACATCTAAAAAGAACTACCTGACAAGAGATAGTGATTACGATTTAGCAACTTTCATCATCGGTTAACAAACGGAATATATATAGCGTTGGTAACCGATGATTAAACAACGTTATAAGTCGGACACGAATTTAGAGCCAAGTATATCTGCCGTTAAACTTTGTATCAATTGACTTTTGAAGAAAAGAACGCATTAAATTGATAAAATAGTAATACTGCCCGTCTTGCAACACGGGAAAAACTTAAATGCTGTTCATGAACGGAAGCAATAACGTTATGGCTAAAAAAAATTACCTGTCAAAAAAAAAGACACATTAAAATGATTTTTTTTACAATTTTCATCTATTTTTTTAAACTAATAAGTCAAAATAGAAGCATAAGTTGTAAATATATTTATCTGTATTTTATGATTCATTTTCATATGAACAATACCGCATTGCAATCTGAGTAAAATCAGCCCCTTATTAAAGCTACGAATTAGGATTTTACCGCCACCAATATGAGGTCACTTTCACGTGACCATTTAAACAGCTAATCATCGACGAGCATTCACAATTTTGAAATCGATGTAGTTGCTAGTTTTACTGCTGGAAAACTAATACTGAGTAGATAATTTACATGATTTCGAGAGCAAACAAGGCTATCGATTTAGCCGGAAGAAAAACTGACAAAGTAATCTTCTCCATTAAAATTGAGTCTATAATTTCCATTTTGTTTTGTTTTGTTTCAAATTACTTCAAACATTTTGTTTCTACATTAAAATTCCGCCGATGAATGTAAAATTTTGCTTCAAACAAGCATTTTTCAATGACCTCTAAGTCTGACCTTTTTGACCTTTGACCTAGAGACCTGGTTCATGCACGTGACACTGCGTCTCATAGTGGTGAACATTTCTTTGAAGTTTCATTAGAATCCCTCCATAAAGGGAAGGAGATATGCTCTGGATCTCTACATTTTATCATTTTTTGGGACCTTGACCGTGCAGATATCAACCTAAATAACATGTTCCACACAAATAGTCATGATTATGACCATTTGACGCCTTTAGTGGCCTTGACCTTGACTGCAGGAACCTGAATTTTGCACGTGACATTCCGGCTCAGAATGGTGAACATTTGTGCCAAGTTATATTGAAACCCTTCTATGCATGTAGAAGTTTTGCTTCGGACAAGCGTTTTTCAATGACCTCTAAGTTTGATCTTGACCTTTGACATAGAGACCTGGTTCATGCGCATGGCACTGCTTATCATAGTTGTGAACATTTCTTTGCAGTTTCATTAGATCCATGCATGTAGGAGATGTGCTCTGGACAAAATCTCTTTATTGTATCATCTGCTATGACCTTGACCTTCCATATATTAAACTAAATTACATGTTTCACACCCGTAGTCATGATAATGATCATTTGTGATTCATTCCCTCAAATAAATGATGACTAAATGGTCCGAATACATATTTTCATATTTTTGTCTGAACTTTGACCCCTACATGGCTCATTAACCTTTGTCGCAGTGACTTAAATTTTTGCATGCGACACCCCGCCTCAAAATGGTGAACATTTGCGCAAAATATATTAGTTTTTACGAATTTATTTTAGTTTGATTGTGTTAGTAGCTATAAGCTTATAGAAAAACTCTCGAATCCGTTCCTGGAACTAACAAGTACTAAGCAATGAATGTAAAGTTTCTTGCTCAAGGAAACCACGGCTTGCCCCTGACAGGGTTTGAACCCACGCGGTCAGCAATCCTTAGATTACTAGTCCGACGGGTTAACCAATCGTCAACGCCGCCACCACAAAGTTATATTGAAATCCCTCTATGCATGTAGAAGTTTTGCTGCGGACAATGTCTAAGTGTGACCTTGATCTCTGACCTAAAGATCTGGTTTATGCGCGCGACACATCTTCAAATAGGGATGCACAATTCTGTGAAGTTTCATTCAAACTTCTCTATGCGTGTAGGAGATATGGTCCGGACATATATGGACGCCGCCCGCCCGCCCGCCAGACCACCCACCAGTGGCAAAACTATAAAACGACCCGTTTTTCAAACGGGCGTATAAAGAAGATATAAGTTGTAAGATACAATATCGTGCTATGGGGTTATTATACATTATTGAATACAATACTGAACTCTATCGGACGAGCACACAGCTCTCAAACGGCCAAACATATATTGGACGAGACAAAAACCGAGTCTGATATAGATATTGCAGCTGTTTATTTACGAGTTCAGTTCTCAACAATATACAAAGACCTCTGCATTTCACAACAGTTTTTGACATAATGGCAGAACTTTCTTTTTAAAAGTACAATATTGAACTGTGACAATGCAAGTGAAAACGACGCTTGAGTAAGTACGATTTGCATTTGATGTAGATATTTTGGACCCTGAAAATGAAAACAACGCTATATTTAGAGCGATATGCATTTGAGATGGTTTTTTTGGAAACAATGCTAAATTTATAAAATTGGATCAAGATGTTGAAAGTTCATTGGGTGTATTTTTATATAATGTGTATAATAAAAAGTTTTATTAATTGAACACATACAGAATTAAAAAAAAACGAAAAGCGAGAAAAAATAAAAAGATATTCTTGTAACGAGTAAATCAAAATTGATCCTTAAGCTACTTATTATTACAACGGAATGTATATAGCCTCCGTCTTCTTTACACATCGTGCCTACTGATTGATTTGGTCCAACCAAAACATCATATTGAGAAATTCCAAAATGACATTGACCTTTTTTTACATTCACCTGATAAGGTATTTTGTTAATTGTTGCAGTAGCTATTGTTGAAAATCTGGTTTCTTGTCATTGTCATGTTTCTTGTATTAACTTTTTTATTACGTTTGTCTTAAAACGTGTCAGCACGGACTTTAATTGTAAATAAAGTCCGTGTAATTAAGGTACGTGGTATCAGTTACCAAAATAAAAGTTAGCCACAACCAGCAAAAAATATTCAACATCTCCTGACACTAATTCACAAGGAATCCTCATTTTCTGCACAATTAGCATATTAAAAATATTATACAAAGTTTCCTTCTATAAAAAAAAACACCGCAATTTTGAAATATATTCCCTGTTATTCATAACAGGGATACTTTCATTACCCCCACATGTAAAAAATACTTTTTATATTGTATTTTGATATGATGCTCGATTAATTAGAGTAGCAATAGAATAATTAACTTCCGGATTCTGAATTGAAAGTAGGTTCATCTCTTCTTTTCTCAGAAAATATTTTAAACGTTCAATAAAATTGTAAGAAAATTTTTCATTTTCTGAAAATATAGGATTTTTTTTGTTTGACCCTAATGTCATGAAAATAAGGATACAAGCCTGCTTAACTGTAGACAAATTTTGTCTTTGTTTTGGATTCAGGGGATGGTTTAACATCTTTTAGTCTTACAACATCACACACTTGTATGCACGATGCACGAAATAGTTGGTTATAACTACAAGTAAGTGATTGTTTTTTTGTTGTTGTTTTTGTTTTCTTTAGGTGTCTTCATCTAAATGCGTCCTTATGAAATTAGTCTTAAATTGTTTTTTACTACTTAGGCATTGTATACAAAGAACAAAACAGAGAAAAACTTCTTTGTTTTTATACTTGAATACTTTTTTTCTTATTTTTCATAGAAGTACACATGTACTATCATATTATCCCTCAAAACATATTTAGAAACCTTGAAATTTCCTCATAATTTAACAATTTTCGAAGAATACCTTGTTGCCTTTTGATCTCGTAGTTAGTAGCAATTTAAGGGAAATGTTATGTTTGCTGACGACTGCTTATTTATTATTAATATTTTTTATAAACTGTGGGCGAATTTTCAAAAATAAATGGAGCTGCCCCATCGATCATAACTTTATGCACAGTAAACCTCCTTCCTTCTCGTTTGCTTATTTGATTTGGCGTGTACTGATTTGAGCAATGCCACGAACTTTCAAATCGCTTTCTATAAAATAAATTTTCTTGACGTTTTTCCCAAGGTCTAACCTATGCTAAGGAAATTAACATGTAATCAAATAGTAATACAAGTTCAAGAGGGATTTTTAATAATTTAAAGATATTTCAATTACCTCTTTTCAACATAGTTTGAAAAAAAACGTTTGTATCGAGAATATAGTTTACAATAATCGATCAATTATCGATCAAAAGAAGAAGGTCTTGGAGACTATAATGTGTCGCGGCTAAGGTTCATGTCCGTCCGTCCGTCCGTGTGTCCCCAATTACACAACAATCATGTCCAGACTGTAACTTTGTCATGCATTTAGGGATTTTGAAATTACTTGGCACAAATGTCTATCTCATAACAACATTCTGTCGCGTCCAGGAACCACGTCCCTTAATTCTTTAAAGGTCAAGGTCACACTTATATTTTGAAGGTTCATGCTATCATAATGAGAGATAACAGGTACAATAATACAAAGTTCAATAATCAGCAATTAGTATGTTTCATTCTGTTTTCTTTTTTTATAATGCTTAAGAAACCTTTTCAGGGGCATTCGTCACTTGGGTGATAGCTCTTGTTTGGATTTAAGTTAAATACCATTGTATGAATAATTCCGTGCAAAAAAATAAAGTAAACACAGAAGTTTTATATTTTTCAAACACATCAAGTTAGTTTTTCCACCTTAAAAACGGAAAAATGATATAGAAAAATAGAATTGTCACGCAATAGTGTTGTTTTGTACTTAATTAGGTGGAATTCCCCTTAGCTGAATCTGTAACGTATCGAAAAACGGTATTTAGATATGTTTTCGAAAAGATTATTTAACCAATCATGTACGGTTTACAGATCACGTGCTCCTCAATGTACCGAAAACAGGTCAGGTGCTTCTCCATGCCTCAAAAATTAATCGAGTACCAATTCCCTGCGGGCTCCACAGGTGGTAGTATCAGTTTGTGGCCACCAAATAAAAATCAAAGCACTGAATGTACTGATGGGGAGGCTATGAGAGAGTGTTTCAGACTTATAGTTTCTTTTCTTTTTGCTTAAAATATGCAACCAAAATAAAAAGATATGCACATTGCGCTATTTATCCTTACTGTTGTGTTCAAGCATTCATATATATGGTTAATGTGGTTGACTATTCATTTTGTTAATATTCCAGAACATTTCATTGAGGTCTACATTCGAACTGTTAATCATGCAAATTTTGAAAAAAATAAATGACATACCAGCAAGTATGACGACTGTTCATTATCAGATATCAATAACATTTTACAACTGACGGTTCCTTATCAAAATATTCTAGGACTGTTCATCATAAATACTTTATGTCATTTTAATAATATTGAATGATAATAACAACTGCAAGTGATGCAACATTTTTATTGAACATAAAAATTATACACGTTTAGATGTACCATAATTGAGATCAATAAGATACTGCGACGTGCGCGCGGGTGGGGCAAAGACTAAGTCTAAATATTCATATAAGGGACCGACTATACTGGACTAATTTAATTATTTCTTGGCGTAGTCAGGCGTTGATATCTCCCTGGTAGCGAGTAGACTAAAGACTCTCCCCTGGTAGCGGGTGAGCGCACGTCACGATCGACCGAGCCGACCAGAAAATAACAAACGTTATTTGATTCTCAACAAGTAAATTTATTTAAGGAGCGAATAACAATTAATAGAATTAGAGAAAACTTAACAAATATTTAACTATTTAACAGTATCTTAACTTCCTAAGCTGACAGACCTCGACGAAAATGGCAAAGTGTGAAAATTTAATAAAAGCTCTTAAATTTAATTTCCTACAAAAATTTATTATGGAAAATTTATTTAATCAGCAATAATGATGCCAGAAAGTTCTTAGTACCTAAATTTCTGAAGAAACTTGAAGAAATTATCAAAAATAATTATTTAAATTCTGAGAGTAATCAGAGCGTGGCTGCTCTCTAGGAAACCTGGATCGCAACTGAAGTTTAGCGTTGATTTGACCCGGGGTATGCGCAGAGGGTCCCTTTGACCCGATGCTGGGCATGCGCCGTAGGTAACACTGACCCGGTGAAAAAGGGGTCCGCAGAAAATTTATGATCCGCATAATGAGTTATGACCCGACACGGAGCATGCGCACTTGCAAAGAAGATGACTGCACGAAAACAGCTGAGCGGAGAAATCTGGAAAATAACTTAAAAATAAACAATAATACAAAATGTCAGCTGTAAGGAACGATGGAGGAATGTGACAAAGGATAAACTTAAACAGTATGTTTCAAAAATCTCAAGGTCTGACGCTGAAATACAACAATATATACGATAGCAAATAACAACATAAAAGTCACATGTTCTATTGCGGACATGTACATTAATTAAATACATGTGATAATGATGATGAGTTTTGCAATGTTTCAGGTTGAATTGACATGATAATATTATGTTAATATAACATATATATAAGATGTTTATAAGTATTTGAACATGTCAATATTACAAAATAAATATACATGTAGTTAATTATTGCTATTTTTATCATTTATTTAAATAAAACTAATTAAAAGTCCTCTTCACTATTTTTACAATTGTCATTGTAAATGATTACATGCCGTGACGATGACGTCACAATACTGTTTTGTGATGAGTATTAATATTCATGCTCTACGGACAAAAGGTTGTCTTCTCCAGAAGCAAATCTCGAATAAAATCACGTTTCAGAAAATTATTCCCATTTCATTACTGACGGCGTCGGATAATATTAAAGCTAAATATTTCTTGAAAAAAATACATATCTGCAAAGCTTATTCAAAACTGAATCAACCTAAGTGAAAATTGATCAGGAAGTTATATCTTCTTTTTTTACCGCCAACACTCAACCAACTTATGGTAGTTAATCGATAGAGTCTACGTGAATTTTTAAACCTCACTAGCTTGAAATATATACTGCGGAAAATCTGTTGTTAACAGGGTGTGCGGTTATAACGTAGGGTTTTCCCTGTCGACCATTTCCCGCAAATAGATGAGAACATCGAAGCCGTCAGTGCTATGAATGGTGTTATAAATGGCGTGTTTTGGAAGTTTTTGTTGAAACTTCTCCAAATCCCTCCAGAGGCGTGCACGTCGCGGAGAAGGCACACGGAAGGTCATAGTCAAGTCATCATAAGTACCAGAGGTGAGTGGTTGACCTGTCTTGACTTACTCTGGAGGTTTGGCGCTAAAAGATGCCGTTTTTGTTGTCGTCAGTCAGAAAGTTGATGCCTTGACGGTATTGTCGTCTCCTTTACCACCAAAGAACGAAGAATGGGCTTCCAGGAAGAATCTGCTTGAAAAAGATGTCCCAGATGCTATAATCTCGGACATATGGTTATTCCGGCGCCGAGTATAAATAAACTTAAAACACACACACTTTTGTTGAAAACAAAACAAAAAAACAACAACACATTTTCTGTAGTAATTTTTCAAGTGTTGTAAAATGAATAAGAAATTCCTCTTATGCCGCCGATTATTTTTAGAACACAAACATAAAAGTTCTTTTTTTTATTTTTCAAATAAACATTAATCACTTCAGCGCGCGCAAATATCGTTTTCAAATTAAAGTTTCGTAAGATAGGCTAATGACTTCCCGATGCTCGACTGTAAGTTATTTGTATATGTATGCGGGTTTTTGTTTTGTTTTTTGTTTGTTTTTGTTTTTTAATTAAAGCTTCTTATTCTTTAATATTTTTTATGTACCTCATAATCTGTATTGAAAATTTGAATTTTATTACACATGGACTATCAAATTATGATGTATGCCCTAGAATTGAATAAACTTTCTAATTACACAATACGGGGTCATACTGATCTTTGCGTCTTTCTCTGAAATAATTATTTCCTTGTTAAAACATATTTGACCACATATTTCTGTCAATTAACTGTTCACTTTACTTTCGATTTTTGTTGTACGGAAACACATGTTTCTATTTGTGTTTTCTAATCAATTCGAATCTATAATCAGTTTAATGGGATCACCACCGGGTAAACACCTACTACTAGGTACTTTGGTCATGTTTTTTACCCCAAATATTTAATTGTTTCAATTGATATTAAAATGAGCTTAGTTAACTAAACAACTGGTTGTATAAATCCCTGACCTGTCTAATTCTAATTATGAGATTAGTGAATATATAAGAATTTCACTACAAAATATCCCTAAACAAAAGAGCACATGTTTAAATTTATTCCTATACAAATAAAAGATCAGAGAAGGGATCTGTCAATTGCCAAAAATACTTTTATGTTAAAAGTTTGATTAATGAATTATGTAAGATGAAAATATAAGTATTGCTTTTTTTTTATTTTGCTAATGTAAAATGTAATATTGTGCTGTCATTTTGTCGGAGGGTCCTTAGGGGTTTTGTAGTTAAATAGTTTTTTTTCGGCGATAATGGTTCAAGAATATAATGTTTTCAAACTATATGTTCATCACCATCAGTGAATTTTTAGTTAAATGTATGCAAAATATTTACTAAC